CCCTGGGCAACCACAAATGCAGCTCCAGCCCTTCCCCTGCCACAGCTAGTGGAAATGGCTGAGGGACAGGTTGCTGTACCCCGTGTGCTGCACGGGGAGAGGAGGACTCTCCTCTCCTGGGAACTGCAACCCTGGTGAGAAATGGGGAGATGCCTTGGCCTCAGAGTAGTATCTGCATATTACAGATTATGATGATAACAATGAAGCTGTCGCGATACTGACATCATGTGGCTATGTGAGGAAAAAAGAAAGATACGGCAGGAGACCTGGGAGGACCACTGCTATTATAACAACAATCCATAGCCTGTCCTTCACACTGGCCACTTGGCTTCACTACAAAGATAAACTCATGGGAACAAACAATAATCCTGGAGAGTTTCTTCTTATATTTTATGAAAGCTAATATCCACAAGCATGGAATTGTAATATGTCCTGCCATAATTCAATCACCCTGTACGTTAAACCAAGGGATAGACCCAGTGCTATACCACAAGGTGCCTCCTGGCCTCAGACATGGGAGGAGCATTCAATACCATGGCACAGTGGAATTCAAGACTCATTCTACAAACCAGAATCATATACTATTGCTGCAAGATTTCTCCTAAATGGCAGACTAATTCAGTTACCCAAAACAGTAATTCAAGCAGGGATCTGCTGGGCTGGCTTTTATCAGCTGAAAAATTTCCTCTAGGGAATGTTGCCAGACACCAAGCAATTCATTCATTTGTTCCCATGTTCTTTCATAATTCTCCCTATCTCTCATTTCTGAGGCTCCTATATCCTGGGCCCTGGGCTCTATACCAGTCCTGGAGGCCTCAGGGATACAGGGTCTGTGAGGGAGACTGTTACCTGTCCTTGCAGGAAGGATGGGTCAAAATGTTGTGGTAGAAAAGACCATGAGATGCTGCAAAGTATGCGGGCCAAAGAGGGAGATAATGCTGAGAAGTGACCACACCTGTTTCCCCTTCTCTTGACCTACCGCTCCCAACCAAGGCCTCATTTCCCTACTGTGAGGCAGAACACTATGGCAGGCTCAGAATCAGGGAAATATGGGTTTACATCCTTAGCAGCTGGAGCCCTGAGCCCTTCTTTCTCCTTCTAGGCCATACTCTGCAGCTTCTAGGCCCTGCTCTCTGCTAGGCCCCTGCCCTCTGCAGGCCAAGCTGGGGCTTACCCTGGCTCCCAGGGTAAAGAGGTTCACATGACTATCCCCAAGGGTCAATCTCCCATGAGGGTGCAGTTGGTTGGGCCTGAACTCCCCTTCCTAGTCCCTCCCTGGGTCCTCCCTATACCTACCTTTCAAAAGTAGCCATGTAAGTTGCTGGTCTTGGATCAACATGCCTCTGGAAGGTCACATCACTGGGGAATTCCATTGGACTGTGAGCTCCAAGAGTAGCCAGGCTTGCCTGTTCCATGTTGAAGGGGTACCCCAGCCCTCTCCCTACATACATCCAAGTAGTTATCAGTAGGCAGCTATTAAGGTCTGGGTTAAATGCATCCCTAAGGCAGAACCTCCCTAACTGTAAAAGCCACATGCCATGGCATGGCAAGGACAGTGTAGCATTGGCAAAGACACAGGGTGAAGCACTGCAGTGTTCCTCTTGATCCAGAAACCTTGGAAAATATAGTTCCCTAAAACCCAGAAAAGAGATCCTACCAGACAAGAGGGGAGGATGTTGCTCTGCTCCTCAGGGGGCACTGGACACATATAAGTCTGTGATACGGGTTATGGAGCTTTGGATCTGGGAATTATCCAAGTGTCCTCTTTCTCCTTCTTCTACCCTACTGGGAGTGGAGCTTGGGACCAAAAGGCTTGTTATTCACTTGTTACTGAAATTTAAAGGAGATTTAAAATTTGTCCCACTAACTTTTCTTCTGGACAGTACTGGACTTTTTACCATCTAGGGAAGAAGTGGAGATGAAGCAGTGAGGCCCTGTCTAGGTAGTAAGAGGCTGCTTGCCCATCATTTCCCTGTGAAGTCTGTCTGTCTGTCTGGCCAGCAAGCCCTGACTTCTTACTCCTGCTCCATTGTGACACAGGCCCAGCCAGAGCCTTCAAGATGGAAAACGCAACCACCACTGGGGCTGAATGCAACATTGAGCGGGGGGTTTCATCCTGCCCAAAGGGTCAATGAATAGATTCTCAAAAGTCAAGTGTGGGTTGCTGGACTGCATCACAGTCAGGATGAGGGTGGGGAACAGGGTAAAGCAGAAGATGCAATGTGATTCCCATAGTGGGGAGAGAGAAGTCGTTCTTACAGTGACATCTAGAGGATGAAATTTGTGTCATCAGTTATGGTAATCAAAAGCCATATGAAAGTTTAAAGATAACAGACAGGGACATATAGAGGTCCTGAGTTCGAAGTCAGTCTGGGCTACATAGTGAGCTCAAGCCCAACTGGACTTCGCAGTGAGACCTTGTCTCAAAGGAAAAAAAAAAAAGAAAAACGATGCTGAGATTAGAATCCCACACTGGGTAGATGTGAAGCCACCCACTCTATATCCTGACTTCAGAGTGTAGCTATAGCAGGAGAGGACATTTTACTCTGCCAGGGCCCATATGCTCAGGAGACATCACTATTCCAGTGTCCTACACAAATCTGGGTTTGCATCCAGGCTTGGTGATACTAGGCAGCTCAGGTAAGAGTCTTTCTGAGCTCACTTTGTACTCTGGAACAGTAGAGGTCAGTGCATGAACAGGTCCTTAGGAATGAGGTAGAGAGAGTGGATCCCTGGTCCACTCTCTTCATAACAGGCAGGGAAGCCACACCACACCAGAGTGACCTTTGTGTGCTATGACCCTCAAGCCAGCTTTCCTACATGGCCCCATGGCACACAGTGGTGGTTTGAACACTTAGTGTCAACAGCCATGTAAATGGCCCTCCTAGTACAGATCTAGTTCTTGTCAAACAGCTGTTGGGGGAGGGGGGAGGGTCTCCAGGAAAAACTTGGGCTTTGAGCCAACCTGGACAAGAAGTTCAGCCAGTGAGGGCAGCCCTCACTTCTTCTAAAGGAGACACCCTTATGTCAGGTTCACACCAGCCCATCCACCCACAGCCTACTTGAGAAGGTGCAGCTCCTGTCATTGAAGGCCGCCTGTCACATGTTTCCCTGGAGTCCAGATTGGAAATAAGCCTCATGACCAACCCCAGGAGGCTGCGCTTTCCATAAAATAATTCATTATGCATTTACCTTGAGCTATTTTAGGGCTTCATAAACACAGATGAGCCTCTGATGCCTGATAAAAGATGGTGATTGGCTTCAGCCAGCTGTGATGCTCATTATCTTAGAGAAACCAAACCTGCTCCCTTAAAGCCAAGTGGCTTCATCTTGGGTGGGAAGCAGTACCAGGGAAACTGGAGGCAGCACTGGGTTCTAGATGTTTAGGGAGGTACAAACATAGCATAAGCATTATGTCCCGAAGTGCTCATTATGTGAGTGTGATACTGGTAATACAGGTACCTGGGCTTAAAGCATCTATAGGGTAAAAGGAGGATGGTGCCCTAAGAGTGTGTACGGATGGAAGAGATCATGGGCACAGACTGATGACACACAGGGTGGCTGCAGAGCTGCAGCCCTGCAGCATCCTCTACATACAGTGCCAACTGCAGCCCTGGGCACTGTGAGATGTGGTGATGGACAAAGGTACATATACCTGTAGGCCATGTTTCCTAGTAGTCTGGGAAGAGGGTACTTCTCACTCAGCCTCATGCCCTAGGGTAGGGATTCCCGAGGCTGCGTCAGGCAGGCACTTGAGGCATAAGCATGTCTGAGCAGGTGTGGGGTAGCCCTCCTGCTTTACAATCATGCTGGTAAGGCAGGCCTGAGGCTGGTAAAGCAAATCCTTTGATGCCTACAGTTTGGGCTGGGAACCTTGGCCCCATCCTCCATCTTCCACTGCCCTTAAGTTTCCTGTCAGGATTACAGCCTGATGATTAGAGACTCCCAGTGTGGGTCTGCTCTGACCCCTACCTTGGAAGTGTAGTCCTTTAGCTGGGGCTCCCCAGGGCACTTCCTATTGTCTCCAGTTAGCCTGATAACCCTCTGAAACCACATTCTGTGGACCTCAACCTTTCCCTGGTGTGGGCCTCCACCTCTGCACACATCTGCCTTGGACCCCTGTTCCAGCATGCCACGCAGGATCGTTGTGCCTGAAACCTATTGGATGGATGTGTCCCTCTATAAGCTGTCCTTGGGAGGAGGCTGTTGCAGTCAGACCAAGGGGGATGCTCACCAGGCAGAAAGAGGAAGAGCCAAAACCATAGTCAAACACTGCTTTCCTGCTACACGTAACCCCTCCTGGTTCCCAATCACAACACGGTTTCCAGAACCCAGGGAGAGTGCCTTCTGAGTTTGCATTCTGTGATTGCTGAGTTTGTATATAGGTACTATCAGATTGGCACAACCCTTGGCAAGTAGAGTTCTAAAGGGAACCCCAACCCCAGTTACCACCACATATATCTGCCCCCTCTGCCATGCTGATGTGGGCTCTGATCTCCCTGCAGCCAGGTAGGATGCACCCAGGGCAGGAGCAGTATAGTAGCCATGTCCGTCATGTGGGCCAAGATAGCTCACCAGGGTGGCCTCTAAGCTTGGAGCCCTGACCTACCCGAACTACCAGCTGCAACCAGATTCTATAGTTAATTCCAGTTTCCACCAGACAATTAAAAAGAATATCCTCAGGGGTGCAGGATATAGCTCAGCAGCTCAAGCACCTGCCTGGCAAGTGTGAGGTCACGAGTTTGATCCCTGGTACCAAAAAAATAAAAATAAAATAGAAGAATAAAAAATAAATAAAAATCCTCTCTTAACAATAGTGTGAAACTGACACAGATGCTGCAGTGTGTGGAGCAGTACTTTGGAGAATGACTTAGAGCCACAGGAAATTATTGGAGGCATGGTCTGTCAAGCACCTTCTGGAAGGTCATAGGGCTGGTGCCGGAAAGCACTCTCCCTTTTGAGATCCTTATGTCTGGAGGGCAGTAGGGGTGGGCACTCACGTTGATCATAGCATTTGATGTGATTCGGAAGAGGGTGGCCCGTTCATTCACAACCTTCAGTTTCTCCCCACTCTCAGAGGGGATCTTGAGGCTATCCAGCTCATTCAGGGAGCGCTGGAGTGCTGCCCCATGCTTGGCAATGAGGTCATTGCATGTGCTAAGGTCATCTAACTTCAGGGAGAGGTTCTTAAGTGTGTACTGGAGCTCGCTCTTGTCAGCTGGGGAGGCAGTCCCTTCGTCGTCGTCCCCAGAGTCATCTGTGGAGAGAAATAGAGTTGCTGGAGTTGTCACTTGAACCAGCACAGTATGGGCTGAAGTGGGCAGAGCAGGTAGGGTCATAAAAACAATCGATTCCTGAATGATGCCTGATGTTGCTCCTGCCTGTGATGAGGTGACTGCCCAGACCTGCCCAGCCAGCAGAGCCTTCTGTGAGTCACTAGAGGGGGCATAAATGGAGTAGCATGAAGGACAGAGATTGGACTGGTCTTTGAAGGGGGCTACAGGCACTGCACCAGCTCTCCTAAATTACAGCCATTAGGCAAGGGTGGGCTGAACTGGCTGGAAAGGCAGAGGATTTTTTTTTTTTTTGTAAGGCAGAGATTGTTCAGTGGCTATAGACACTCCCAGAATTCAGCCTAGGCTCCTTTTCTAGCCTTACAGACTCATTCAGGGTAACCAGCACCTTCTGGGGCAACCTCAGTATGTCTCTGCCCCTGAAAATGCTTGGGGGCTTTTGTTTGGGGCTTATCCATGGTGCCCCCACTGCCTGGAACTCCATATTTCCTTTACCTCCTTGAGGTTTCACCCTATTTATCCTTTTGAGGCACAGACCAACGCCATCCCTTTTCCAAAGCCTACCCAAAGACCTCAGGCCATAGTTCAAGCTTCACTTTCCCTGTCCTCCCCTCTCCATTTGGCTAATCCTTCTGCTGGTTTGCACTCAATTCCCCTGCAGAAACATGGCCACTCACTCACAGAATGCCTTCCGTGAGTGGACACTGGCTTCTAGGTGGAGACAATGATGCTCTGAGAACTGAAATCATGCCAGACTACCTAACCAGTCCCCTCTTAGTGCCAGGCTTCTGGGGTCTCCATGTAGGTGACAGGAGGCTCTCCCCATTCCCACCCTACCTTTAACATCTTACAACCTGCCCATGGGCCCTTGTAGCTTCCCTTCCTGTTGACCCAACCTGTGTCTGGGGGTACAGGGCCATGGGGACCTTTGGGAGCAGCTGAGTTGGCGATACTGTTGCTCAGTGCTGAGCACAGGACAACAAAGAGCCTGACAGCTGGCTGTGAGTCCCAGAGCCAGATCTGCTAAAGGGTTTCTGAAATGCCTTGTTTCAGAAATAATCAGTAAGACTTTTTTTAGATGAAAGAAATCTGTAACCCAAGATACAAAATTTAAAAAGAATGTTTATTTTGAGTGAATAGAGCAAAATTAGTGCTGCCACCAACAGCCTGAGCACAATGCCTCCCCATTACCTTTTAGAAAATTCCAGTCCTTTTAAGAAACAATGGAAGCAATGGAGGTCTGCCTGAGTACCGTAAGGTTTTGTTACCCAGGATGCATGCAGAAGATGGAGCCTGATCCCCAGCCCTGTGTCTGAGAATGAGCCAGCAGATCCTGAGCAGATAGCTCTCTAAAAAAAGAACCTAGAGCTAGGCAAGGGGTGGCAGGTGGGGTGAGGTAGGGAAAGAGACATTTTGCTGAAGAGCTGAGATGTGGAGGGAGTTGGCTGGGTGTGAGACAGCCCCAGGCTCACGACCACAGGTGCCGTCAGTTATTCCTATTTGTCTCTCAGAGCCGCCAGAGAGAAAATCAGAAAAGGGCCCATGTACTCTCGAGTCTCTCCTTGGCCCTCTACCTCCATCTCCCAAGAAATGTGTTTAGGAAGGGAAGGGCAGCAGTTCTGGCTCAGTCCATGTCAGCCACCCTGGTGTCCGCAATGGGCTGCACAGAGCCTCAGCCTCTTCCCTGTCCACCGGGAGGCTACTCTGACTCCTCTCCAATCTACCTCTGGTCTCAGGTGGGCTCTCAGCTCTTGGGGCAGCCACAGGCTTTTTTGGTGGCTGCACAAATCTCCAGAAAGGAAGACAAGGCCCAGGTCTGCTCTGGGCCCGAGCAGGAAGCTGCTACTATTACACTACCCAGCTAGGCACTGAGAAAACATGGGTTACTTAGACTCTTCCCTGGGGAGGTATAGGTCTTAGCTTCCTTGGCTACAGTGTCATTTATTTTTCTGGGCTTCTCCTTTGGTATCCGTGACATAGAAATAACTCTTGTCCTTGCTGCCTGTCTCTGATCAGAACAACTGGCAGGGTCTGTAGGGAGGTGAGCTCTGGCCCTTGGAAAAGGGACAACTTTCTAACAGGGAGGAGGCCCAGGAAGACAAAGATGTCCCTGTAACTGAGGTAAGGCCTGTGTGCATCAAGAGTGCCTAGAACAGTGGTGGCGAACCTACGGCACGTGTGCCACAGTGGGCTGTTTGTATCACTGAAAGCTCTAAAAGGTTCACCATCATTGGCCTAGAATGCCCAGCATGGCCCTCAGTCCCTATTATCTTCTCTGCAACTCACTTTTCTCATTTGCATCAGATACAGTCAGTCAAATCCAGGTTGGCATCTGATAGCAAGAGGATTCTAGCTAAATCCCAGCTGTTAAGTGACATTTCACTTATGCAATGGCCAGGACCCAGGCCCACTTTATCCAGGCTCACATCTGTGCTTTCAGGGGAGAAAACTGAGGCCCAGAGGGAAACAAGGGGCTCGGCCAAGATTAGCAGCAGTAACAACACAAGTAGTAAATAGCTTGTACCCAGCTGCTACTCTGACAGAGAAGGCCTAGACCTTGGACAGGCTCTTTCCAATGGCTAAGGTGTATCTGCTGACAGTTCAGGACCTGGATCCTAGGCAGAGGGTCCTAACATCCTCACAGCTTCCCTGGGGGAGAGTGGAGGAAGGTCAGCAGCGGTCTCTACTCCGTGTGCTTGCTAGCAGAGCCACCAGGGAGTAAGCTGCTGGCCTCTGATCACATGTTTTGCACTGCTGTTGACAGCTGGCTCATGGTGCAGTGGCAAACAGTATTTGACAAAGATGTTATACCTCACTTTCCTCTCAAGAGGGGTCTCCTGACAGTAGGGGCTAAGAAAAGGCAGAAGTGAATTGGATCGACTGCCTTTGCTGGGCAGCAGCTGGGAGCAAGGAACCAGTCAAGGAACCAGGCATGTGGCACCTGCCTTCTACCTAGTGAAGATCTTTCTAACCACTCTTTGTGTCTAGGTTCAATGCCTGCACCCTCTGGTTGACCTGACGCATTTCTCTCTCTCTCTCTCTCTCTCTCTCTCTCTCTCTCTCTCTCTCTCTCTCTCTCTCTCTCTTTCTCTCTCTCTCTCTCTCTTGCTTTCTCGCTCTCTCGCTCCCTCACTCTCAGCTGCACACTGCTTTCTCTTGGTCCCATGGTAGTCCTACTCACTTTCTGCCCACTTCTGCAGATCCCACTGTAGGTTAATTCCATTCTGCCTCATTCATTTGGACTATATGCTGGCTCTGCATAAAGCTGGTACTTCTGTTGGGTGAATTATATCCAAACCTACCTGGGGTCCCAGAGGCTGCAGAAGCCAGCTTGGAAGCAGCAGTTTCCTACCAGTCAGCAAACAAGTAGCTAGGCAAGACAGTAGGCCTCCTACACCAGACAGCAATGACAACCATCATGACCACGGCAGTGGCAGCTGAGGCTAATACAAGGTACCAGAAATTTTTAAAGCACTAGGCAAACTCATTCAACCTATGTATCGCTAGCATACACATTTTATAGGGGAGGAAACTGGGAAACTGAGGCTGGAGTGGGATGGTCTCACAGTGAGCAGGTGATGGAGGTGAGACACAGCCCACATAGCCAAGTTCCAAGCCTGCATTCTCCCTCGTGGCTCGTGGCTCCCCCAGCCATTCTGTGTCCCACTGCAAGTCATATGGAAAGGACCTCTAGGAAACTGACCTACGAGATGAGCTGCAACACAGAAAGAGGCACACCTGGTTGTGTGACTTTGAGTCAGATAGTAAGCCTCAACTCACGCCCTTCATGGTGAGCACCTTCTTGCAGGACTTTTCTGGAAGTATTTTACCATATCCTAATAGCTTATATCATCTCATTCCCTGTCCCAGACATCAAGCTAGCCAAGAAGAGGGAAGAGCCACACTGTTTACACTGGAGGGGGACTATAGGCCCCACCACCTTGTGTCCTCACCTTAGCAGGAAGGCTCAGCACAGGCGGGCATCTGGGCTACCATTAGGCAGTCACAGAATAGCAGCTCAAGTGGGAACCCACATGCCCCTACTGTTGTTCAAGAGCTGAGGCTTGTAAAGACATGGCTCACAGAGGACGATGGTAACCCAAGGAACCAAACCAAGATGGTGCTACAGTTGGGGAGATGAAACCCCAGGACAGGAGGCAGGTGTCAGGAGCTTCTTTCTCTCCTTTTCCCTGCTCAGCAAATGGCCAGTTGTTTGCCAACCAGGGTACTTTCTGTCCTTCTGGCATTAGATTATGCATTCAGAGGAAAGCAGTTAACCAAGATCCTAGCAAGTTGCTCTGCCACCTCCAAAGACCCTGCCCTTCCCCAGGGACAATTCAGAGCCAAAGGAGGCCTGTGTTTGCCAATGCAAATGACTTCTCCAGGATGGTGAGTACCTGGGGCTGAGACTCACTATGCTTTTCTTTGCCAATGGTGCTCTTGGGTCTCTCTGCCTAAAGCAACAAAGGCACACAGCAACTCCAGACTGTGGAACACAGAAAGGATAATGAGGTCTGGCCTCTAAGCTGGACACAGAGCTGGGAAATGCAGCACAGGCCAGCCCTTAGATGATGGAACTGCATGGAACAAGTGACCATGAAAGATGCATCCTTCCCTATTCACAGACAGGATCATTTGTAGGAAAGCACTGATTCCTAAAATATCCATTAGTTTTGTCCAGTTATATGGAAGGATTCTTTTTTAAGAGAAATCCACAAAACTCAAGTTACCAGAGTGTTACAAAATGGCACCAATCATGACTGTCCATTTTGGCTTGACAGGGCCATTAGAGTGTGGCAGTGGCCTCTCATTCCTGGGAAGCTTTCTTGGGATATGAATTTTCAGTCCTTAGTGGCTGCAAAGCATAGGCTAGTGCCTTCTTCTAAAAATTTCTGACTTCCTGGAACTTCAGAATGTGAACTGACTTGGAGGGATTGAAGCAGATGCAGTTACGTTAGTTAAG